GGGAGTCAGATGCACTTAGTCTCTCTGATTCATGTGTTACAGAAAAATTGATTACACCAGTGGTTTTATACCTATAACATAACTGGAGACTTTGGAAAATAAACATGATAATATCAGATGCAAGCAAACTAGAATAGGTGAAAGAAAAGAAGCTGAAGAACAAGAAGATCAAACAATACTTGATCAAGAAATATCAACTAGAAACAAGGGAGATTAAGGAAATACTAGAAATACAAAGTAGCAAATAACACTTGTAGCCAAGAAGATCAGTGGATATGAAGCCTGAATCGCACACTATAGGCAGAATCTCTAATTTTAATTCAATAAGAAAAAAAAATCTACCGATCTATTAATGGAGAGACTGTAATGTTGACTGCCAGTCAACACCTGACAAAGAAGAATCAGTGCAGTTCTGGGTGCACTATGGGATAACCCAAAGAAATACAACAAGAGTGTAGCTTGGGTAAAGAAGGTGGATAAGAATAAAAAAAGAAGTTGAAATGAAAGAACTAGTAATAACAGCAGAAATGGTGAAGAAAGAGGCAAGAAAGATTGAGAATTGGTCACACCAGGAAATGAACTGCATGGTTTTTGGTTGAAATATCTGACTTGTCTACACTCACTCATTTGGCAAAACCTACTTGATAATGAAAGATCCAACAAAAAGGGTAGCACGAGGCAAGTGCAGGGCAATTACCTGCTTATCAACAACTTTCAAATTACTAACTGGTGTGGTAACTGACGCAGTCCAACATTATCTACTTGAAAATAATTTTTTTCCATCTGAGCAGAAAGAAACTGCTTGAACAGCAGAGGCACAGAACAGCAGCTCCTAATTGACAAGATGATTTTTGAAAACCGCAAGAGAAGGAAGACCAACTTGAAGGTAGCTTCAAGGCATTTGACTCCCAGCCACATGTTTGGATAATCAAATGCCTAGAAATAATAGGAGTCAGTAAAAACAACAGAAACTTATTGTACAAAACTCAGTGGTGCAATAGAAGACATGGTTGCTGGTCAGTGGGTGATAGATGAGGAGAGGTTAATATAAAGAGAGGAATCTTTCAAGGAGACTCACTATCACCACTACTGTTTCTCACTGCATCAATTCCTCTGTCAACAGTACTGTACAAGACAGGCCATGGCTATCAAACATCAAAAGCATTGGCCAGACTATCCCACCTCCTTTACAGGGGTGATCTGATATGGAAAAATGTCATCTGAAATAGAATTGCTGCTCAGTACTATCCGTATATACAGCCAAGACATTGCAATGGAGTTTGGATTGGATAAATGTGCCACTCTTACCATCAGCAGGAGAAAATAACGAAAACTTAAGGAATCGAGGTGCCCTATGGAAATAACAAGAGTGCAATCTCAAAAATCTGGAGCACCACTTGAGCACCAACAGCATTGACAAAACTGCTATCAGTCAATTGCAAGAGGCAGCTTTAACTTGGAATAGTTTACATCCTGCAGCAATACCTTTAACACCCTCAAACAACATCTGTCTATCCCAAAACCTTGAGAATGTTTAATAAATGGATATTTGATAAAAAATATCAAATCCAGTCTAAATCTGTGGCTAACTATGCAAACAATCATAATGGTAAATTTATATGTCACATAGCTCCCAATGACTCTGGAATTCACAAGTTAAAATGTAAATATCTTCCAAGAATTTTTGTTGTCACTATTTGTTGTCACTTTGTTTATATCATATTGTCAAAACAGCATCCATTGACAAAATAGTTGATCTCTTCTATGTTTTTGAGGGAACAAAGTCTGGCAAAAGCCTGCTAGTTATCTCAGATGTCATTAGCTAGTTGAAGGAAGCCAAGGAAAATATTAAATGTATATACTACTTTTATCTCCAAGCAGTGGTGCCTATAACCAACTGTGACATCACACTGATATCAGTTTGGTAGCTCTGTCATGACATCTAATGTCATAACTCATGGCATTGTTGTTGTTGTTAATTGCGAAGTCGTGTCCGACCCATCGCGACCCCATGGACAACGTTCCTCCAGATAATTGTAATAGTATTATCTTGAACCTTTCTTCATTTGACCCCACTAACTCAGGCCTCCAGAATGGCACCCAATTTCTTGATCTCTCTTTTGATTGTCCAGGATCATCACTATCTACACTACATTATGAACAGCTAGTTTCCTTCATCCAGTTCATCTGATTCAGAACATCATTTAGAGTCTGAACCCAAACCCTTATACTGAGTCCAAGCTTTGCATTTCAACTCTTTAGTATTTTATCCAGAAATGAAAAGAGATAGTTTGTATCCTAGGTTTGCCCTTGGAAAAAGAGTTGACTCAGTATACCAATTTCTAGCAGATAATGCTGCTTGCCAGAATTTTATTAGATTAAATGTGCACTCAGATGCAAAATTTGCAGTTCCAAGAAATTTAGTACAGTACAAAGCCCAGATAATGCAAAAGATTGTATTATGCTAGCTAATGAAAAAAAAAAGCGGATCAGCAATATGAAAAAACTTTAAAATTCTGACCAAATATATTTTTTCTCTCCATTCCCATTCAGAGAACATTTTTCCACAAATGATGCCTAGTAATTTCTGCATAGGATCACCAATGTGTCCAAGATGAATGGCAAGTCTGTCCTTGATTGTTCAGGAGAGTTGCTGAAACTTTGGAGCTCTGATATGTCTGGGTCCTGAAGCAATATTTTAAGATAGATAATTCCTTTCCCTTCAACTCTCAGAAGTGAATTCTGAATTTGTGTTACTGATGTTACTTCAAATAATGTGCTTTGTATGGCATGCCTGCTGCCTTTGAATAAAGCAGCAATCTGGTTTGCACCAAATCAGAAACACATTAGGAAGGAAGAGGTGAGCACAGATGCCAAAGATTGTGGTCTTCAGTGATAAGGCATAATTAGCTCTGTCACAAAGATAAAGGTAAGGGTTTTCCCTATCCAGTCATGTCCAACTCTAGGGGGTGGTGATCACCTTAGTTTCTTAGCTGAGGGAGCCAGTGTTTTCCAAAGACATTTCTGTGGTCATGTGGTCAGCATGATTATATGCCAAAGTACATGAATGCTGTTACCTTCCCACCTAAGTGGTACCTATTTATCTACTCTCATTTGCATGCTTTCAAACTGCTATATGGGTAGTTGCTGGGGCAAGTAACAGGAGCTCACTCCATTGCGCAGTGCTCCTATCTTGGGCTGTCAACATTCCAGCTGACAAGCTCAGCGTCTTTAACCACTGAGTCACTGCACCCCCTAGGCCCTACAATACAATATGCTTTAACCAGTAAAGAGTATTGTACATCATATTGAGCTTGCAAGTTTAAACCATATTTTAGCTTTTTTTGGGTGGTTTAACAGATTATGAGAACCCACTCAGTACCCAATTGTAGATTCCAATTTGCTCCTTGGAGACCTTGATTCAATAGGTCATCTGACTCTTACTCTCAAACATTAAAAAATAGATTAGTGGCTTTTGTTACAGATGTCATATCCCAATTGTTTTGACTGATTTCATACACCTTATTAAGACTTATTTTGCTGAATTATGTAAACTCATACTTTGTGATTTATAAACCACAATTTATGCCTTAATATTTGTGAGTCTAGTCAGTTATGGCTTATGATGTTTAAAGTCGTTTTTGTTGCTGGGGGCAAAATACAAAATATTTATGACACATATTGAAAGAAATTGGGCTGGAATAGAATATTATTTTATCAAATTTATTTTATTAATTTTGAATACATTTATGCTTTGGTAATAGGAGTATTGCTATATTTGAGATTAGAAAGACAGATCAAGCAATATAGCACTACACTGAGAGGCTGGAGAGATCGTCTCTGTGTCTCAAATGGTTCTGTGTTCTGCCAAATGCTGCATTTGCACAACAGGTTAAACAAATCATGTTATAACCCAGCATGATGCAGAATCTAACCACTGTCTGGATTAGATTATAGAAAAGGCTACATAACTCTTACCCTGTGTGTCTTAGATTATGGAACTTTTTGTTTTTAGAGCTGCAGTTAGTTCTCTTATTCTTTGTTGTTCCAAATCCAGATTTTTTATTTCTCAGATTGTTATTCAGCTCTCTGGATTATGTTAAGCATATTCTGCATGTTCCTGTCTTTTGATGCTTTCTAATTCATCTTGCAGGTATATTTTACCTGTTTTTATATCTTGAGTGCTAGACCTAAAAATGTGACCAAAACATCTCAATCACAAGTTACCATATTTTATCTGATACATAATAACATAAAAAAACAAATTAGTAGTTAAGGCAAGCAAAACCTCACCACGATGCACACAAATCATATTATGGGAACTCTAAGAGTTGCCATCCTGATACTGTGATAAATTTCATACTAATTCAGATGTATTTTAGATTCCATCCAATACCGAAACAATTTACAAATTAGTCGGGGATTTTCAGTCTGAACAGAGCGTCAACATCTGAGGGAGAAGTGCTTAATTCATTCCACATCTCCACTTGATTTCCCAAACACAGGGGAAAAAATACAAGGGAAACTGCTGGGAAGGGAACAGATTTTAAGCAGAAAAAAAAATCAGAGGTGGTAATCCATAAAGGGGATTGTACAGCTACGTTTTGTCTTTTCTAAAAAATATAATCTCTATGGAATATTATATGCAGCCCTATATACGGTAATGATTAGTGTGTCCTGCCTCAGCAAGTGGCAACTCCTGGTCATCTTCATGTGAACTTGGAAGTTGGTCTTTGGTAGTACTTGCACAGGACATAAAGGATTAAAGGCTAGAACAGAAGTCCAAATAAATCCTAAAAGAAAGCAATGGCAAATTTTGCTACTAAGGAGATTCCGTGGATGTGTCCGTGAAGCCACAAGAAGACTAAAGAAAACCTCAAGGCACCAGAGGGCGCTGTAATACAAACTATTGGCCAAAAAAAAAAAAAAAAAAAAGCAAGGAGAACTTCATTGACTTGTTGAAATTGTATTTATGTGTCTCATTTGTAATTCCTTGCTAGGAAACAGAGAAGAATGCTTGTAATCTGGGACCACCTCAGGGAAGAAGTGTTTGTGAAAGAATCCACAGGAAGAATAAAAATAATAAAGGTAAGGTTCATGCTACACAAGAACCATGCTTGCCAAAGATGCAATTGGGAGGGGGGAATGGCAGGATTAAAGACGAAGGTTATTCCAGACTGAAAAAGTATCCTTCTGTGTAAAAACATATTAGTATACACATACCAGCACTTATGGATTCTGAGAAGCTTTAAAACTGGATATCTGTGGATATGGAAACATTATGCAAATTACCCAAACTATAAAAAGTTGTTTGGGAAGAAAAATCAGCAGTAAACTATGGCAATATATCCCTCAGAGCAATAAGCAGAGCATTGCATATTCAATACTGGGAATTCTGGGCACAAATCACAAATCCATCTGCAAAAAAAGAGAGAAAAGTTGCCAGTACAATACAGTTAAAAAAAATTAATATTGTGGCAAAAGATTTCAATTTACAATTCTTCAAGTATTTATTTATATGCTACCCTGCTTGCTTAGAAACAAACCCACAAAGGGTAATGGCAGAAGACAAGGCAAAATAATAGTTTCTGTATAAAATTTTGTTGAGCAAATTAATATTTTTCCTTTTTAGAAATACTTGAAACTTAAAATGATTTTGATCATTTTCCACTGTTAATTTTGATTATAATTTTTATTGTGAGACAGCTCCCCCCACCATATTTCACTACCAATCTCTGTAACCTTGATATTTTCCATATCCATTCTGTACATATTGCATATCTATATCTGAAAATCAGTGCTGGGGAAACTTATTCATAATATCACCTGCTGTTGACTATGTGGTACTGGAGTTGCTGGGAATTTAAATTCAGAAATAGCTAGAGAATCACGGGTATTCTACTTTGATGGGGATAGTATAATATATTGGTTCTATCTTATCAATGCTGTCTGTGCAGTTATGACTCCATAACTCCACATTGCCACCCTTTCTTCTACAGAGTGAAGACTGCATCGGTTGTCATAGTGTAATATCAAAAAGAAGGAACAATTTGAAAAAAATGCCATTCAGTAGGATGTTTTCACAATAAACCTTATTTGTATTTGTCTTTCTAAGTGCCATTTAATGCAATCAGCCAAACCTTAAAATACTTCCATATTGAGAGAGATAGAGAACAACAGTGATGAATTCCTATGATGGGCCCATGCTGATCTGCCAATATAGAAAGAATTAAAATAAAAACACAGCAATGTCAGTGAGAGCTGCAAAAGGTGTTGTTAATGCAAGTCTATACTGAACTCCTTATTGTTATGGCTTCCAGTCCTTGGCCTTCACAGTCCTCTGGGGAAGATCAGTTGAGAGCCTTCCAGCCAGACATCTCAGCTTTGCAATTGGTTTTACTGCTGGAGGAGGAATCCCTAGCAGAACTTCTATTTCCCCAGTATTGCAGAGTATAAAATCAGGTAGGCTTCTTTAAGATCCAGAAGGCTGCTGCTGCTGCTGCTGAGGGAATGGAATTGATCACAAAATGAATCCTGGCAACTTATTTGAGGGTTCAGTTAGTTTTAGAGGCTTTGCAGTGACAACCTCTTTTCATTTCTGTATCCTAGTAGGTATGAAACTGATACGGGCGTTCTTGTGTGGAGCTATCCGTGGTCCTGGGCCCTCTTGCAACTTCTCAGAGGGACTTTGCCTCTCCTTTCTACTGTGCCTGTTGCTCTCTTAATTTAAGGCTCCTTTGCTTTAATCTCTCCTGTCGTGCCCAATCCCCCCTGTGAGATTAGGTAACCCCAAAGGCAGGACATTTCTTTCTTTAAAAATGGAGTCAAAGAGCTAAACAGAAAATGGTTGTCATTCCAACCCAGATCTGTTATTTTGGTTTCACAAGCGTGTCATTACTATCTTTCTCTGGGCTTTTTTCAAATGGACATAAAAAGTGGAACGATCAGAAACAATATATCAGAATGAAACAGAGAGAGAGAGAGAGAGAGAGAGAGAGAGAGAGAGAGAGAGAGAGAGAGAGATGTCAAATAAAAATGGGTTGTAGGTAGCAAATTGACTATGATCCCCAAAAGGAGGATGTTTGTTTGTTGGGCTTTGTGATGGTATAAAGAGATGCTTTCCAAATTGATGAATTAGCAACAATTCCTCTATTTATATGTTGTGTCTTTTAGAGTTACGCATGCAAACAGCACCCCTATTCATTTGAATTACCTGTCAACTAAAATCAGTAAGGCTATAGCAATGTAAGTTGACATTTTAGGAAAGAATATAAAGGAGAAAGTTGTCAGTTTTCCAAGATTCCCTAAATGAGCTGGCACATTACTGGTTTTGATATATTGAGCTTTTTTTTTTTTTTTTAAGCATCTGACAGTGCATCTGCAAAAGAGCATCAGCAGAGGAATTGGTAGAATTCCTAAAATAAATTGGGGGTAAGTCAAAAACTGAATCAAAAGTTTACACTTCAGTGAATGTCATACTTTGGCTCAGTCTTTGACCAACTTTGTTGCTATTTCAATTATTTTTGAGGCCTATTTTGAACCCAATAAATTTACTTTTATTTGGATAAAGTGGCTCATTTTTATAAAATAGGTTCATTAATATCCATGTAGCTTATTAGACACTCTGGGAAAGAAAATAGGTAAAGTAAGTGAAGCAAGATTATTACAATTTTTTCCGACTTCTTAATAGTCCGCTCTGAGTTACGTGGCTGAGAGGGATGAGGGAGGGGGGCTTTGAACAGAGCAATCAGCAATATTACAAATTAGTGCCTAGGTTCATCTCTCATTTTCCAACTCCTATCTTGTTTTTCCCATCTTCCTCCACACCAAATTTAGTTCTGTTCAGTTTCCCAAGAATTATCCTGTTGAACCAGTTTCTATAATCTCATAATTTCTTTCCAATGTTCCTTTGAATCAGAAAGAATAAACAAATGAGAGAAAGTGTGCAGAGAATGGCTTATTGGAACTGTTTTTTGTTCAACAACAACAACAATAATAATAATAGTAAAGTTGGAAGGGACCTTGGAGGTCATCGAGTCCAACCCACTGCTCAGGCAGGAAACCCTATACCGTTTCGGACAAATGGCTGTCCAGTCTCTTCTTAAAAACTTCCAGTGTTGGAGCATTCACCACTTCTGGAGGCAGGTTGTTCCACTGGTTAATTGTTCTAACTGTCAGGAAGTTTCTCCTTAGTTCTAGGTTACTTCTCTCCTTGATTAGTTTCCATCCATTGCTTCTTGTCCTGCCTTCAGGTGCCTTGGAGAATAGCTTGACTCCCTCTTCTTTGTGGCAGCCCCTGAGATATTGGAACACTGCTATCATGTCCCCCTCATCCTTCTCTTCATTAAACTAGACATACCCAATTTCAGCAACCATTCCTTACAGTATATGCTTTAGCCTCCAGTCCCCTAATCATCTTTGTTGAACAGCAGTGGCCATAGGAGGTGTTTGTATTGTCTTCTAAGGATTTAAGGTATTGTATTGTGAGTGTTTCTGCTTTTCTATCATGTTGTGTCTGGGTCTCTCTGGATGTGTGCACTGGGACTCAGAGGACAGGCTGCATGCAACTTTTGTCATATGGGTAATGGGCTGGTGGTGCTTAGAATGGGGCATGGGGGATTTTTTTTCTTTCTGCAGCCCCCCAGCCAAACCTGAACCATTTGGGGAGCCAGTCTTTGTTTCGGAGGCTATTTGTCCACATCAGAGTTGGGATTATTCTCTTCAGTTTGGAGGAAGTTACCTAACTTTGGCCATCTTGTCTATTTGAGTCTAAACCCTTTTACTTTCTTTCCCACGTTCTTTTGTGCTAGGACAAAAATGAAAAGGGATCATACTAAGATCTATACCATTTGAATAATAGCAAACAAACAAACAAACAAACAAAAATCCCCACTTTGAGCATTTGCTGTTGTTTTGATATCCAACCCTATTTTTTTTTAAAAAAACAAACAGATAAATGGTAAGCACACACGGTAAAAGTCTATCATTCCTACAAAATCCATAAACTGTTAAGAGTAACTGGTCAGTGTCTATTGAGTACTGATTAGCTAAAGCTGAGAGCTTTGGGGACCCATTGAGATCAATAGTCCTGAAGAAATTATGTTAACAACTAATTTAGTAAGATTAGTGGCTCATGAAGCTAAATGGATCAGTTCCCCTTTATACTAATTATTTCTAGCTAGCTGTGATTCTAGAGAAACAGAATTGCATCCATAATATATATTTTAGCAGAGTAGTACTGATTGTCATTTGATCCACCTTTTTGTAGGAAAGAAATGAAATCACTAGCATTTTCTAGCCTTCTATATGATGTCACATACTTCTCTCTTTTGACCTACTTATTGTAATGAAGATAAAAATAGAGAAGACAACATGGTACCGATTGGAATTTGGGGTTGGGTTTTTTTTTGCCACCTCCCACAGGAAAGAAGGCATTGGAAAGAATTAGATCAGGTTTTAAATATTTAATTTGTCGATTCCATGATGCAAATCACATATCTGAATAATCTATTATGTTTTTCTGCTGCCTTGTTAAAATAGCCATTGTGGGACTGCAATGAGAAAGCTGCACCAGGTTAAAGGTTAACTCCTTCTACCTGTATATTCTGTAATTGATATCCTTCAACTGTAGACTAGTTTTAGACAAAAACTGATGTCAAGAGCTACTGATGGAATTTTCATGTCATGTTTTATTGAATCAAACCTTCGTAAAACTTTATCCAAATCTTGCTTTAATTTTAAAAAAGAAAATACATTCTTTTGACAAACAAATTGTATCAAGTAAAGGAATGAGATTGTTTTCTGGATGTCAAATACAACACGAATTGTATCAAACATGGCAGACACAAATGGCCAATCCTCATTTCAGGAATGAAGAAGAAAAGAGGTCTCCACATTAATGTGATACTTGTTTTTTAAATCATTAATGAGCTGAAAAAGGGAATGAATAACAAATAGACTAAATTTTCAAATGGTGCTAAATTATTCAACACAGTTAAGTATAAAGCAGACTGAAAAGATTTACAGAAGGATTTCACAGTTTCAGGAGAAAGGGCAATGAAATGGCAGATGAAATTAAATGTTAGTAAATGCAAAGTGACATATGCTATGCAAAATTAAAAACTCAACTAGTGTTCTACTTTGCCAAGTTCTGAATTAGGAACTAGCATTCAAAGTGCTCCCAAGATAACAGGAAATTGGTCCCTGAACTGGGGCCATCATTTTAGATAGATGCTTTTGTATTCCCAGTCAAAAGATGTTATGCAGTTACTCTGGTTTCCCCTTCTTAGAAGGATTTTGGTGATAAAGAAAATGATGAAGATACGGGAGATTACCAAGAACATGCCACATCATCTTCCATCTCTTATGTGGAAGAGATACGTTTATCTTTCTTTCCACAAACTAATTTCTAAATTGCATAATAAAAATTTACCTAAAAGCATTCAATTTGAAAATGTTACCAAATGATTTTAAAAATACTGGATCTCAGATTGGTGATCTGATTTAGAAAGCATATTTATTGTTTCGCACATAAAAATGTTACATGGAAGGAGCACAGACTTATATATAGAGTAAGTGACTTTACTACGGCCAGCAGCAATATAATTACATCACCAGAAAAGGTCAGGACTCCTTTTTTCACTTTTCCAGAAAAAGACGTTAGTATATTTATAAAAATATTTCAAGATACGTGAAAACCTGTGTAAGGCTTAACATACCCATTTTTATTTACCTGTCATCTCTGAAAATCAGTAAAAAAACTGCCTTGCATTTTGATGCTGAATTTTGGGTGGGGATTTTGAGGGTTATACATGAAGCACAGCAACTGGAAGTCCCATTGGTTATATATCTCGACCAAAATAAAACAGAAAGGTAACACATTCAAATAGGTGCTCTGGAGTTACGCAGAACTTAGAATGTTGTCTGTGACTTTACATGGTATCCACATGAGAGATTTGGGATGACTATTTCAATGGCGCTTTCACATCCTCTCAATATTGTCTCGTGGAGCTGATGGTGAGCAGACTATTTTGGAACAGATCAAAAAGTAGAACTTCAAAGACCCTTGTAATTTGATTTTTTTTTTAATGAATAAAGCTACTTGGG